AAAAAAAAAAAAAAAATACCTAATGCAATATAAATAGTTGTTATACTGTATTTTTTATATTTATATATTTCTATTTTTTATTATCCCCCCCCCAAATACTTTCTATCTGCAGTTGTTTAAATCTGTAGATGTGGGACTGTGTGACATGGAGGGCTAATTATTTTAGTTTCATGGGCCTGTCATAGTCAAATATCACAAACTGAGAGGCTTACAACCAGAAGAAATTTACTGTCAGTTTAGGAGGTCAGAAGTTCAAAATCAAGGTGTGGACAGGGCCACATTCCCTCTGAAGGCTCTAGGGGAGGATCCTTCCTTGCCTCCTCCAGCTTCAAATGAGGGCCCATTCGCCAATTCCTGGGGTTAGTATTTGAACATAACCTTTTGGGAGCGGGGGACACAATTCAAACTACAACAATGCGTGATATAGTCATAGTGTTGAATAATCAAAATAATACCAAGGATCTATGATAAGAATTTTTGCTATCACCCCATCCCACTTAACCATAAATACTTTTTATTAGTTTCTTGTATACTCTTCCAGTGTTCATACAGACACACAAAAATAAGAATACATGTCCAGCTGCCTCACAGAAAGCCAGGATTGTCCTACGTTCTGCACTAGCTTGTTCACATGCAGTAATCTCCTGCATCATTTCCCATATCTGCACATAAAGAGCTACTTCACCTTTATATGGTTGCAAAGTATTTTACCATACAGATATTTTTGAATTCTATATCTGGGATCATTTGTAGCTTTGTATTGCTTTATGTTTTTTGCCCCTTGAATTTTATAGTTTCCATTATTTTTAGAAAAAGTCAAACTTTTGCGAATGAGCACACCCTGGTCTTTTCACTTGATGCTGGAATGCGTCCATTGCTTTCTGTTATAGCTTTTATTTTTTGCTCAGCACCCTAAGTGAACACCTACTACTTGGTTGGCTGTTCTTTTTTTTAAGATTCTACAGAACATATAACATAGTACATGTAAAACAAAGTTCAGACTCCTAAGCAAAATCAGGCAGATGCACAAAAAACTACCTTGCCTCAACAGTGCTTCCTAAGGTCAAGGCCTTGTGGGACTTTTCCCCGTGGTGCTTATTCAAATGCAGATTATTGGACCCCAACCAGAATTTACTGAATTAGATTCTCTGAAGGTAGGGCCCAGAAATCTATTTTCAGATGACCTTTCTGAAAGGTGATGGTAGGTAAATGATCAATTGTTAGGTTTTTGAGGGCGTACTGGCAGCTCTGAAAACAGCTACCATTTACTGAGATTTCTGTGTATGTGGCAATGGACAAGGTACCCTATGTTTGTTACCCATATCATGCTAGCCAACACCCAAGGGTGACCCACGAAATAATTGTGCAGTGGCGGTTAAACAGAGCTCCCTGCCCTGGCCTCTCTGAGGCCACAGTGGGCAGCATTAAGGCTAGCCACCCAGTTGCTTAGCTTGAGTTCCCACCATGGAGACGGAAGGTAGAATTTCTGAAAGAAGCTTCAGGCTCCAGCATTTTCTTTGAGGTCTCTACAACCTCACAAACTCTGAGAAACACCAGAAGAGGCACAAAGTCCTCTTCCATCAAAAATTAAATAAATGCTTTGCCTTTCTTAAATAAATTTAACAGCGTTGACCCCTTCCAACCCTTGACTCAGTCTTGAGCCAATTAAATGAGTTCTGCACTTGGGTGTTCTGGTTCTGGCATTTGCAGCAGTATCTGCTGAAGATGGACATACTCAGAAGTCTAAAAGAAATAGTCAGAAATCAAATTGTTCTTTAACTTTCACACAAAGGGCTTCCATATGGCAGAATATATCTTGCTCTAATTTTTGGCAAACTAACATTCCTGTGAGAGTATTTTTGACCATGTAGAATTATGACCAAAAAAATCAGGTTATAAAAGTACATAAGGATTGTCTGGGAGCTATTTTCACCTTCTCTGTGATTTATCTATAATAGTCTCAAGGTGGCAATCATTTCTGTCCGAATCATTACTGAATGAACATTTTGCATAGGAATGCTTATTTTTTTCTGGGGAGCATGAAGGTTTAAAAACCGGTAAAAAAATGGTATCATAATTGTTTCTTATTTTATTCAGTTTCTGTCTAGAGGACTCTATTGGTATCTGATTTAAATGACTAAGAATTGTTATTAAAGATGCATTCAGCAAAAAGCATTTATTTGAATTCTAATGGGGGGGTGAGGGCTGGGTGAGATAACTCTCCGGTAAGTAATAAAGATGCAGACCTACAACCAGAGTGCAGGGCACACTTCTAAAGCGAAGGGAAACACTGTCATCTCTGTTTAAAGAGTTTGTCGCATTCTGTTCCAGAGCCTGGTCCAGCTGACTGATGGCTTTAAGAACAGCTGCTCCATTACCGACTCTCCTCAAGATTTCCCACGTGATCCAGGTGCACTTGGCCATTCTGGTTTACCTCAGCAGTTCTGTGACGCTGGCTCTCAGACAGAGGTATGCTGCCCAGGAGGAAAAAATGTATATGCTGAGAGGACAGTTGCTTTTGTGTTGCTGTCACCCATTTGCTTTAATCTTAAGCGAATGTTTTCACTTTTATGCACTTAAGTGTGAAGAAAAAATATCACCTCTCACATCTAGCTGTGTGATGCAATTGAATTGCATATTACCTCCATCCTTGTGATTGGGATTCTTAAAAGGGCCAGACTCCTCGTGAGAGTTGAGTTTAAACGTTCTTTTGACAGACATATGACTTTTTAGAGCATGGGTCACCAAACTTTTTTGGTAAAGGGCCAGATAGTAAATACAGTGAATACTTTAGGCTTCACAGGCCATGCAGAACTATTCGACTCTGTCTTTGCCGCGCAAATGCAACCATCACATGGATGATGTGTGAGCGGATAGGCGTGCCTGTGCTGCAGTAAAACTTCACTTACAAAAACAGGCAGTGGGCTGGATTTGGCCCAAGGGCTGTAGTGTTTACCAAACCCTGCCTTAGACCAGTGATTTCCAAAAGGCCTTGTGGCAGGGCTACCTTGGGTTATACTTTGTTGCTATTTCTTATTCTTCTAAAAGAATGTCAGGAAATTGAATTGAATTAAAAGTAATTTTGTTTGAGACTTGAAAGAATTTTATAATGCTACTTTTGATAAATAGTGAAGCCTTGAGTTAGCCACAAAAACAAAGTTAGGAAAGTCACCATTTGAAGCAGGGTGTTGGATGTTCAAAGACACTACTGTTATATTGCATTCAGTGAGGCTTTGACATTAATTTGTTACCAAATGGAAAAGCGATTTAGAGGGCTTCTTCCTCTTTAGGCTTATTTAGTAAAAGTGAGGTATCAATGGAATATACAGTGTTGTGCCCCCCCCCTCAATTACATAAACGAAAAGAAAGGAAAAAGGGGCTGGATGTGGTAGCTCCGGCCTCTAATCCTAGCACTCTGGGAGGCTGGAAGCAAGAGGATTGTTCGAGCTCAGTAGTTTGAGACCAGCCTGAACAAGAGTGAGACCCCCGTTTCTACAAAATAGGAAAAAAATAACTGGGCATGGTGGCATGCACCTGTAGTCCCAGCTATTCAGGAGGCTAGGGCAGGAGGATCACTCACTTCAGCCTAGGAATTTGGAGTTGTGAGCTACCATGATGCCACTGCACTCTAGCCAGGGTAACAGAGTGAGACTCTGTCTCAAGGAAAAGAAAGAAAGGAAAAAGGGAAAAACAATTGGTAGAAAACTCTGAATTTTAAATTATTAGCTAATATTTTGAAATTTTGACAGGTAGTGCCTGTTTGAGGGGAGCGTAATATAGTAAATAACGACTCTCTGTGTCTTATATATCCTGGAATAGTCCTATTTGCAGTATAGTTGACCTTTTTCTTTTTTTTTTTTGAAGTTTTTGGCCAGGGTCGGGTTTGAACCTGCCACCCATGGTATATGGAGCTGGTGCCCTACTCCTTCAGCCACAGGTGCCACCCTACTTGGCCTTTTTCAACCAGGCTTCATCTTTGTTTGAAAGTTGAAAGAGGGGCAGTGCCTGTGACTCAAGAATTAGGGTGCTGGTCCCGTATACCAGAGTTGGCGGGTTCAAACCTGGCCCTGGCACCAAAAACTGCAAAAAAAAAAAAAAAAAAAAAAAAAAGAATATAGGCCAGGAATGGTGGCTCACACCTATAATCCTAGCACCCTGGGAGGCCGAGGCAGGTGGATTGCCCTGAGCTCAGAGGATCAAGACCAGCATGAGCCAGAGTGAGACCCCGTCTCTACCAAAAATTGCCAGGCGTTCTGGCAGGTGCCTGTAATCCCAGCTATTTGGGAGGCTGAGGCTAGAGAATCACTCAAACCCAAGGACCCAGGGGTTGGTGGAGGTTGCTGTGAGCTATGATTCCCCAGTCCTCTACTCTATTGAGGGTCACAAAGTGAGACTCTGTCTCCATAAAAAAAAAAAAAAAGAAAGAAAGAAAAAAAATGAAAGCAAAGTTAAAAAAAAAAGAATATAGTCACCATCTGTAACACCGAGAGAAGAATCTGTGAGTCAAAAATGTTTTGGCATTTTTGCATAAAGATTTTGGAGGGAAGGAAACAAGTACTAGACTCATTGATTCCATGAATAATTCATTGCTGCTTGCTGCTTATTATAAGGTTAGAATTAGAGTTTAGAGACTTTTAACTAGTTTGGAACATATAAGATCGAAGGTTCTCTAATGATTTAGGTAAACCATTCTAAAACACCAGGTAGAGATTAGGGGCTGGTTATGCTACTTGGCAGTAACTTACCATTGTTTATGAGCTCCTGCAGTTTATTGGACTGGCCCTGCATTGGCAGTTTCATAGCTGTTGTCTACACGTGATTACCTCCATCCTCTTTGACATGCAGGAGACCAAGGTACCAGGGTGCCTACAGACATACAGCTGAGGAGAGGCAGGTCTAGGTTTTTTTTTTTTTTTTTTTTTGAGACAGAGCCTCAGGCTTTCCCCCTGGGTAGAGTGCCGTGGCATTACAGCTCACAGCAACCTCCAACTCCTGGGCTCAAGCAAGTCTCCTGCCTCCGCCTCCCAAGTAGCTGGGACCACAGGCGCCCGCCACAACGCCCGGCTGTTTTTTGGTTGCAGCCGTCATTGTTGTTTGGCGGGTCTGGGCTGGGGATTCGAACCCGCCACCTTAGGTGTACGTGGCTGGCACCTTAGCCGGTTGAGCTATAGGCGCCGAGCCACAGGTCTAGGTTTGAATCAACATCTCTTATCCCTAAACCTCTGTACTTTCTACTAACTACATCATATTATAATAGAAAAATAGATCAAAAGGCTCTGTTAGTTAGCCATTACTGTATAACAAATTACCGCCAAACCTAGCATCTTAAAATAGCACTCCTTTATTATCTTACACTTTATGTGGGTCAAGAGTCAGCTGGGTCTTTTTCTCTAGGGTATCAGGAACTTGCAGTTGAGGCATTAGCCAGGGCTGCAGACTTATCCAGAAGCTCACCTGAGGAAGGATCTACTCTCAAGCTCAGGATTTAGTTTCTCACAGGTCACTGGACTGAGGACTTCAGTTCCCTATTACATGGGCCCTCTCTAGCATGGCACCCTTGTTTCATTAAAGTGTGCCAACCATACGACTCTGCTAAGCAAGATGGGAGTCACAATCTTTTGTAAGAATCTTTTTTCCAGAGGGCATAGTGGCTCATACCTGTAATCCTAGCACTGTAGGAGGCCAGGGTAGGTGGATCGCTTGTACTCTGGAGTTTGAGACCAGCCTGAGCAAGAGTCAGACTCTGTCTCTACTAAAAATAGAAAAGCTGGGTGGGCAATGTGTTATGTATCTGTGGTCCTAGCTGCTTGAGAGGCTGAGGCAGAAGATCATTTGAACCCAGAAGTTTGAGGTTATTATAAGCTATGATGCCATATCACTCTACTCAGCAGGACAGAGTAAAACTCTGTCTCAAAAAAAAAAAAAAAAGAAAAGAAAAACAGAGCAGCGCCCATAGTTCAGTGGGTAGGTGCTGACCACATACACCCAGGCTGGTGGTTCGAACCTAGCCCATGCCAGCTAAAACAACAATGACAACTGCAACAACAACAACAAAATGGGTGTTGTGGCGGGCACCTGTAGTCCCAGTTACTTGGGAGGCTGAGGGAAGAGAATTGCTTGAGCCCAAGAGTTTGAGGTTGCTGTGAGCTGTGACACCATGGCACTCTACCCAGGGTGACAGCTTGAGACTCAGGTTCAAAAAAAATACCTATTCACAGAAACAGTCTTCCAATCCCTGTTGCTATATTCTATCAAATATATTCAAGTCATAGACCCAGCTCATTCTAAAAAGGAAGGAATTTCACATGGCTTGAATCCCAGGAGGTGAAGATCATTGGCAGCCATCTTAGAAGTCTGCCTACCTCTCTTAGTTTTTGCTTTGAATAAGTTTTATGGGGTGGGCATTGATGTATATCAGACATGCTTTTCAAGATTGGGGATTTGCAGCCACAGGTTTGTACAGAGTGTATGGCTGAATAGGAACTGTGAAACAGTAACTGTGTGGATCTGACTGACTGTCTTTGAGACCCAAAACACGGATTTTGGTTCTCAAAGAAGAATACAAAAATAAAGCTTAGAGATCCATAAATAGCTTCGAGAAGAGGTTTAAGAGATGATGTTTATTGGTCTTGATGAAGAGATAACTTCAGGTCCCCTAATAAAGAGGGAATAAAGTGGCAAGTACCTAACCTATGGAGACAGTTTTGGGGGTCAGGGTGCTGTAGCCTAAGTATGTTCGAATATATTGAGGAAACTATGGATGGGGGAACAGACGGATATTTAAATGTGTGAAACTGTTACATATCTCATAGGAGAATGCTCAGTCCCATCATAAAGGCACTTCTTCAACTTGCCATTCAAGGTAATACATTTGTAAAGAATGAAATTCCCCATCAACACAGACCAAAACTCATATCGAGAAATTTATTACTAATCATTCAAGTCAAATATTTTGAAAAATTTGTTGACATCAGGTTATTTCAAAACATAAAGACTTGGTGGTCATAACATATGGTATGGTAAGGTCAGATCTATAGATGGAACCGATTTATTAAAACTATAGTTGTATATTTCCACAAATGAAGGAAGAATTAACCAAGGTGTGCTACAATTACTTCCTATACATATCTTTTTAGTTTAGTTTTGCTTTATGTAGGATTTCTTCGCTTTCAATGTAATTGGTATGAAAATATTTAATCATATTCAATGTCCCCATCCCCAGGCTTTTTGAGACTTTGCTTTCTGTCCTTCTACCCTTAGTTCTGCAGCATGCCTCGTGGTTGTCAGAAGGTGTCTGCTAGCCCATACTTCACATAGCTACTCCAGCTTTTTTAAACTATGGGACTTCAGACCTTTTCATATTTATTTTGAGGAGTTAGTGAATGTTTTGCACAAAATGGGATGAAATTTTATTTTTGCCTTTGTATCAACTTCTATTGAGTACTCCTCTACTTCTTTTAACACTTGATTTGTTGTTGTTTGGAATTAACACAATAGATAGATATACTGCCACTTTAAAAGAAAAACAAAAAATACCAGTTTTAGGAAAGCAAATGTCTTCCTAGCCCTACTCCCAACCCACACTGGCCAGAGGTGGCAGCAGAGTATTATTATTTGATGTGTTTCCTTCCAGATCTTTGAAAAATTGAAAGTGAAAGACAAATTAAACGAGTATTATTCATTGTTGCTGAAGATTTAAATGAATTTTCTATTTTAAAAATATGTTTTTAATACATGTTTCCTTTCTTTTTCTCTCTTTCTTTCTTCTGTTCCGGAAAGCTTGTCTTTGATGATAAAACAAGACTGGTAGACCGAGTTAGACTTAACTGGCAGTATGAGGAAGCCAGAAAGAGGTAAGAAGTGCATTTTTCCATTCTTGCCTTCTGCTTACTTTTCTCCCATGGAAAGAGGTTTGGCAGAGTTCCAGTGGAAAGCTGTGAGGGATAGAATACGAAGTAAAGGCCCTTCATTTATATATAACATTCAAGTGCATTTGAAATATGAAATTCTGAGTATTTCAAACAGTTATAAAGATGCGATTCAATAAGAATAGAGACTTTCTTGGCTTTCTTTAGCATACCAGATGGTTCAGAACTCCTATCCCACCTTCCTTTCTCTCCTTCCAGAAGATTGAGCCTCAGTCCCTCAGGCCGGCATAAAGGATTTATCTTTTATATATGTGGCTTCTAACTCCATAGATTAATGGGCAGAGCCACATTTTTTGGTTAAAAGACATTTAATTAGGTCGATAGGTGAGCAGGACCAAATTAATGTCATTTTGTTGGAGAGGCTCGACATGTAGTGGCTGATGTGGACCTATATTGTAAATCATCTGCCTTTGGCAAATTGTGACTTGACCAAGTTTGTGCCTATGTGTTTCTCTTTCCTCCTTCTCTTCCAGTCTTCTTCCTGGGACATGGACAAAACTACAAGGTTTCTGAAACCCTCAGCACATCATATTTTTCCTTAGTGCTGAGGGTTCCTGCTTTCAATATTCTGACTCTCCCTGGCTTTCATGTCCTTTTTAAGAGACTTTTTCTTTGTGCCTTTTGGAAACAGTCTTAAAGTCAAATTATTTCTTTTCTTTTCTTTTTTTTTTTTTTTGAGACAGAGTCTCACTATGTTGCCCTCGGTAGAGTGCTGTGCCGTCACAGCTCATAGCAACCTCAAACTCTTTGGACTTAAGCAATTCTCTTGTCTCAGCCTCCCAAGTGGCTGGGACTATAGGTGCCTGCCACAATGCCTGGCTATTTTTTGGTTGCAGTTGTCATTGGTGTCTAGCTGGCCTGGGCTGGGTTCGAATCCACCACCCTTGGTGCACGTGGTCGGTGCCGTAACCACTGTGCTACGGGCGCTGCCAAAGCCAAATTGTTTCAAAATAGGTGCTTCAAAAAACTGTGAAGCATGTCTTTTTAAAACAAAATTTCTTTAGTTGAAAATGAAATATCTCAGGGATAGGGAAGGAACAGAATGCCACGTGGGGTGAAGAGGTCTTTTCTGGAAGCTAAACAGTTAGGCCTACTCAGTACACTGTACCATTCATGGATGTCTGGAAATCTACTTTGCTGGTTTTTTAGAAAATGTAAAAATAGCAACAAAAGCAAATCATATGACTCCCTGCTACAAGGCCAACTTAAACGGACATAGGCCTTCTGTTTGCTAGGAGGTTTTATACCCACTTACTCCAGGCTTTATAGGATAGCCTTGTGGTGGGCTTTAAATTTCCCCATGGAATGCTTCCAAGTTCATGTATCAAAACTGGTTGTCTCTGTGGTCACATTCTTCATTTATCATGCATTCCTTCTCTTTGGCTTGTTGGAGTTTGTGAGGGGGGGATTGTCTCTGTTGAATATTCCTCTGCTCGTTCTTGCATGTTTCTAGTGGAACTGCAAAGTGTGGGTGCTAGAATTTGCTGTGCCGTATTAAATGCACCAAATGGGTCATTGCTACACTTTAGGAACTTAATTGTTATTTGTTTGGCTGTGACATTTATCAAACAGAGCAATGATTTCTTTGTTTTCTAGAAATGGTGTCAGTATGAAGTGAGTAACCTTTTAAATGTTGCAATAAGATGTTTGGGTAAAAAGTTGAGTATTTAAGAAAATTATTTGGGGGGTGGGCACTGCACTTCATTAATACTTTTCAATAAAAGTACTGTATTATTTGAAGATTTCTAGAACCTTGGTAGGAAATGCCCTGCTGCTACTAAGGACAGTCCTGTCTCAAGCATTTGAGCCTTTGTGGGACACTAGGGGCTTTTCAGAAAACCACTTTTGGGGCTGCATTGAAACATTTAAGAATCAGAGATGCATTTGAAGTTGACATGAGTGGGTGTGCACAAGCGCTCCCTGTCTACCCACTAGCATGTTGGTTCTCAACCTGGGGAATGGGGACTTTACCCCCAGGAGACTTCTGACAGTGTCTGGAGACATATTTAATTGTCACAGCTCCAAGGCAGGTGCATCTGACATCTAGCAGCCACCCTGCACTGTGCAGGGAAGGCCCACTGCATGTCAGCGGCCGAGCTTGAGAAACCTTACTTTGTGGTGTCTTCCTGTCCTAGTCCTGAATTTTCACTGTGCATGGACAGCAGGGTCCTATGCAGGCAGGTTACCTGGTAACTCATGGCGTCAGCCCACTGCACCGGTCCTCTTTGCTTGCCGGTTCCAGCCACATTGGCTTCCTCAGTGTTCGTCACCTATACTGAATGTGCATCCACCAACCAGCTCCACTGACATCCCTTTGGGCATCTGTCCCACCTGGCAGATTCCTGACTCAGTGCCTGCAGGTGGCAGAATAATGGTCCCCCAAAGGTGTCCACGTCTTGATCTCCAGAGCCTATGAATGTGTTGCCTCTCACTGCAAAAGGGATTTTGCAGATGGGATGATGTTAAGGATCCAGAGAGGGAGAGATGATCCTAGACAGGAGGACTAGCAGGAGAAATTGTCATGTGGCCTCTGCTGTCCTTTTGATCACCTTGTTAGAGAGGTTTCCTTGATCATCCTGAGTAAAACCACACCACCCTGTCCTCACGCTGTCACCCTGATTGGCCAAGCAAGTGTTATTCCCTAATTGGTGTGTGCTTTCTTCTTGTCTGTCTTTCCCTGTGAAAATGTATAAACTCCTTGAGTACAGGGATTATAAGTCAGTGCTGTAATCCCAGTAGCTACATATTCAATGAACATTTACTGAATGAAGTCCAATGTTTGGTCACATTTGCTATTTGGTCTTTGCCTTTCGGAGTGGATGAATCAGAGGACTCCCAGGGCCAGGTCAGCTCCAGGCTCACTGCTCTGCTTCTAGCTCTTGTCACCAAAACCGCCAAGCTGGTAAAAGCTGTGGAGTAGTTCATACTTTCTGGGCTTTCATGGATACTTAGAAATGCTAGTGTAGTCTTTGAACTCTCTATAATAAATCTCCTTCTTAGAGGTTGGAGAAAATGGCATTGGAGCTGGGCCCCAAAGGAGTACTGGGATTCTAGCTGCCCATACACTGGGGAAGGGCTTTTTCAAGTAAAAGGGGAGTAGGGGTTGGGTGAGGTGTCAGTCTACAGCAACTGGACTGGCCTGGAGCTGCAGAACACAGGCAAGCCAAGGGGTCAGGGGTGGGATGGAGGGTACCACGGGCAGGGAGGCAACCACATTGCGAGGGCCGTGAGTCCCTGGGAAAGGAGTTGGAAATGCTGGGCACACTAGGACTTTTGAATTGGGAATGTTAAGTGGGAGACATTTCAAAGGTATGTCTAAGAGGGGGCAATTGGAAGCACCAATATAGGAATTTTTGTCGTATAAATTAAGTTGCCAAATGGCTGAGATCACCTCAGGAGAGAAAATACACAGAGAAGTGAAGAGACTCCAGGACTTGAGCCGTGAGAAAGTCCAATAAAAGGGCCAGTGAGGGTGAGATTGGCCAGAGGGGTGCAGTAAAAAGTCCCAAGAAAGGATGGCTGGGAGTGGGAGGAAAAAAAGAAGAGGAAGCAAGCCTTAGAAAAACACTTACCTTCAAGGGCCCCGCAGCAGAGGAGGAGGAGGTACAAAGGAAAGGGAAGAGAACAGCAGAAGTGCAAGGGGCTTACAGGCAGGCTTACCAGGTGCGGTGCCCCAAGTCCACAGTGCTGTATAGGAAGAGCAGGGCATGGCAGATTTGCATAAAGCTGACTTGCTTTGGTTCATTTAAAGAACTCTCTTATTCTGATGTATGCATTTTTTTCTGTTTAAACATCTTTTCTTATGAAATCATGATAGTTGACATGAGTTGGTTTTTTTCAAAGTCTTTGGGAATATAAAAAATTGGCAGTCCTAAATTAGTCCCCCAGGCACACTTTCTTTTCTTTTGAGACAGAGTCTCACTATGTCACCCTTGGTGGAGTGCCATGGTGTCACAGCTCACAGCAACCTCAAACTCTTGGGCTCAAGTGATTCTCTTGCCTCAACCTCCTGAGTAGCTGGGACTACAGGTGCCTGTCATAGCGCCCAGCTATTTTTAGAGATGGAGTCTCACTCTCGCTCAGAGTGGTCTCAAACCTGTGAGC